AATGATGTTTCTTGTCATCTCTGACGAATAGCAACAACTGTTCAAATCTAAACATAACCAACTGCTAAGCACCAAAGTATAAACACCAATCTTGGTAAAAGGTGACGATCTCCTATTGCCCATAATCAGGTTCATCTTCCCATGCTCCACATCCTGACTTCTTTTTATCCCCTACAAATCAGAACAAATGTGAAAACCACATCCTGTATCAAGGACCTAAGAACTCGAATGTGATGAGTTTTTAGATAGAATAGTGTAAATACTTGTCGAGGTTGGCTTCACCTTTCCGTCCTTTATGTCCTAAAAGTATTCAGGTCAACTTCGTTTCCAATGCTCCTTGTCATGGCAGTAAAAGCAAGTGGCCTCCTTTAGATCAGAGGCAGGAGGAGCATCAAAACTGGCCTTTCCTTTGGGTCCATTGCTAGAGGACCCTGCTTGGGACTTTCCCTTCCAATTCTGTTTTGATGGAGCTTTCCTCTTCTTCCCCTTTTCTTGCCCAATCACCAAGACAGGAGCAGCAACAATAGGAGTGGAGGCAAAACTCTTTCCCTTCATTCCACTTTCAACAGTTCTCAGCAAGCTTTGAATTTGACTCAATGTGGTTTCCTCCTTGTTCAAATGATAGGTCATAATGAACTGATCATAACAGCTGGGAAATAAGTGCAAGACTATGTCAATAGCCAATTCCTCATCGAAGTTCACATTAAGTTTCAGCAAACGATCCATAAAACGTTGTATGCATTGCAAGTGGGTCGTGATGGACTCTCCATCCTTCATCTTGATGGTAATGAGGGACTTTACTATCTTGTAACTCTCTTGACGAGCTCGTTGATGGTACTTTTCCATCAAGTCTTTGTTCATTTCATATGGCCAGTAATCCTCATATAACCTTTGTAGCTCAGGAGTCATAGTAGCCACCATGATACATGACACTTTGGTAGCATCATTGCAATGCTTCCTATACTCAGCTAGTTCTTCAGGAGTAGCTTTTGTTTCATCAATCTCGCCTAGTTGTTTTTCGAGCATATACTCCTTGTCCTCGAATCGTAGAGCCATATTGATGTTTCACATCCAATCATTATAATTGGATCCATCAAAAGTGACTTTTGAGCAAATGCCCAATAGCGAGAAGTTGTTGGAGGAGTTGTTGTTGTTGGAGGAACCAGAAGCATTATTGGAAGTTGACATCTGAAAAGTAAGAAGGACAAGTTTTGATTAGATAGGAATAATCCTTAATATAACACCCAAATGAAATATTAAGGTTAGGATCCAACGATATAATTCACAATTCAGAAAAGGGATTCCGTAATCCAATTGTAAATTATTTGAAGGTAGGTACATGACGATTTACAAATTTCACCATGATAAAAGAAATTTGAATGAATTAGCTTTTAAATGAAATTCCTAGATCTTTTGAGATTCATTGAACTATTCAATGACATGTTTAATCTCGATTATGCCCTTTTCATTTGTGACTGGAATACCGAGGATCACAAACAATGTGTGAATAACCATGCAAATTAGCTTGGTACTCTCGATGTCATTTATCACCTAATTAATGTGCCGGTTAACCACACACACTTCATTAATCAATGATAATTTACGAGACACCCATTGCCACCCTTTATAAGTCCATATTAGTATGACGGTTAACCACACATGTTCCACTAACGACTTTTATAAAGTGTAATGTGCAATTTCATGGAATAGCATCAAATTCACATTTTCCCAAAGTAACTAAGCTTGAGAATTTAATAAAAAAATTTAGTTACTTTATTAATTTCATTATACTTATTAATGAGAATTAAGTGTCCTATCAAACCCGTTCAACTAACGACCCTGCACTAGTCAAGGAAGCGGTAGGTGAGAGTGGACACCCATTCAATCGCCATTTTATAGGCAATTTCCTTATACCCCTTTATAGACCAGCTTCATGAATGAGGCCTACTAACAGTAAGACTGGGTTTTCTTATACATATATAATATAAAGCATTTAGTTTTACATATAGTATAAGGGTGTATTTTAAACATTTCAAAATACTATTGTTTTTAAATCTATTTAAAATTTCGAAAATTAAAAGCAATTTTAAATTTTAAAAAACTTTGTTTTAATAATTATCTATTAATTAAACCTTTAATTAATTTATTAAATCAATTAAGGATTATCCATTAAATTAAACAAATTAATTTAATCTAATACCTTATCCCCTAATTTCGAAAATATGGGAGGGATAATTATAAGATTCTATTATTATCTAGTTAAACAATTAAGAAGATAATTACCAAATATAACAACCCTATTTATTATCTTATATTTCGAAATCTTTGACTTGGGGTGGAAGGCAAGGCTTTCAATCCTTGCCTTATTTTCGAAAACCCTAAGGTTAAGGAACCCTAGATCTCGAAATTTTGGAGGCCAAAGGAAAGGATTAAAAACCCTTCGCAATTTTCGAAAACCATGGTTATGAAACCCTAATTTGCGAAAATCTTAAGGCCTAGGATTTAATTGCCATAAATCCTAATTTAGTCAAGTTCAATAAATTGCATCAAATCTAATTGAAAACACAAACCAAAAGCTCTGATACCACTGATGGGTTTTGAGCATAACAAACAATTCCTATGTGTGCATGCAACCCTAATATGTTGGATCTATGTTTTCTCTATTAGACATACAAGCATTGAACACAAAAACTAGAAACCCTATGAGGTAACTACAATTTTCGAAATTGACAAACCAAGGGTTAGAATACATACCTTTATTGTTATATTGTAATAACAATGGATTCCTTTGAAGATCTTGACTTTGAGAGCAAGTGTCACAAGTGTAACACCTCTAATGGCTCACAAACACACCAAGCAAGAGGATGAGAGGAGAAAAAAGGAAGACTTAGAATTTAAGCTCCTTTTCTTCTTAGGAATGATGGCCGAAATCTTAAGGGGTTGGGGCTCCTTATTAGTTGAGGTAGCTTAGAGCCAAAGCTAGGGTTTTAAGGAGGAAACCCTAATTCCTTAGCTTAAGGCCTAAGCAGTCCATGGACTCCTATCCTTAAGACCTTGGAGGAAATTTCTAGGGCTTTCCTAGAAGATTTCATCCAACCCTATTTAGGGTGGTCCAAGAGCCTAAATCCATAATTATCAATAAATTGACAAACAACCCCTACACTTTTAATTAATTCCTTTAATACCAAAAATTAATTCCAAATTAATTTCTGATTAAATATTAATTAAATAATATGATTTCTAATTAGTATATTATTTCCATAATACATTAATAAATCATTTATATCAATTTATTATTCCAAATAATAAATTCTACCTCTTTCTCAATCAATCATCCTGTCTAGTTGCTAGTATGAAGGCAACCCAAAAGGACTATGCTTCTATCAATTCAAGTACATACCAATTATAGTTATGGGCTTAGACACATAATCCAACAAGAAACCCAAACCCTAACCATTATATGGAGCTAATTTCGACATTGTGGTTTTCCTCAAACCTTGAATTCGAATTTTAGATATAGAAGAGAAGAGATTGAACCTAACAAACTTTTGATTCCTCTTTCCTTTGCTTGAATGCTCAAATCTTGACTTGAATCAATTCTTGGATGCACAAATGAAGAGAAATGGCCATGGAAAACCATTCTCCTTGCAATACACGTTTTTGATGAATGAGGAAGATGAGAGTGCATCTTATTTTCCAAAATTTTACCATTTGGTCCCCCAAGTTTACCCATTTTGCCAATTTCCACCATAAACTCATATTTTATAATTTTTAACTTAAATTTTGACATAATAAGCCCTCATCCATCCATTATGTAACTTTTGTAGTCCACCCATTAACTAAGTCAACCCCTTGGTCAACTCATTTTGCCAATTTGACACTTTTGGTCCTTTAACTTTTGAAATGTTATTTTTTCACTTCTAACTTTTTAAATTTCGTATCAAATAATGATATGATTATCTTTTGATGATTTAACTATATAAATTATATTTCATTTATTTACTTTATTAATTTAAGAATCTAGTCTTAAATTTTAGGATGTTACGAAAATGGTCAATGTACATTGAAACTTGGCATCCACAACCATAGGCAAAATCTATGAACTCGACATATTCAAGGCCAATAGATATTAACATTAATCCTTTTGGTAACCTAGGCTTATACAAATAGTAATACAACTTCTTGCACTTTCTCTTGTGTAAATATTTATAGAAAGACAATACATACGTCTACGTCCATAACAGTAAAATCGGCATCCTCAAACAAATTATGTATACATTCAAACTAGGAAAACGGGTTCCTGATAAACATTAATTTGAAATGAAGATCGACTTTGATGTGTTTTGTCATCATCAACACACCACAAATCGATTGAAGAGAAGAGTTTTTTCTGGGTGAAATTAAAAAGGAGATTGAGTGTAAGTATCATTTAAGACATCAAATTCATTTATTAATAAATCAACACAATAACATGACAGTCTCTATTAACGAGTTAATAAAGATTTTAAAATGACGTGAGAGTCAACCCTACTGACTAGACAAAGTTTTACCGGAAAACCCCTTTAAATATATGATAATGACCTTTTTTGAACATATAAAAATGGACTTTTTGACCGAAGACCACCCAAAAAAATAATATTATGGATCTTTTAAAATAGAGATGAAGATTTTGTAAGGCTACAGTGTTATCCTAAACTTAACTTATAAAGTGTGTGTGTGTTTTTTTTATAAAAAGAAAAATAGATTAAGAAACGTTATAAATTTATTAACATTAAGAAATTGTATAATATTTTAGAAATTTAGAAACGTTTTAAAATGTAATTTTTAGAAATATATAACATTATAACGTACTTATATTTAGAAAGTCACAATTAAATTTAGAAAAATGTATATATCGTAAACGAACTTTCTAGATTCGTGGGACCCATAAATAGAGCGTCTCCCTCACCATCAGTCCATTCCGTGTCAAACAGAGAAACGGTATCTCCCGCCTATTTTCCATGGCTCGTACGGAAATTTCAGGAAAATTTGCCCTAGAGCTAGCAAAGTTCGTGTTTGGTTTAGCCGCGGGCTCACAGTATCTCCTTCCAGGTGCCGATGAGGCGCGCTCCTTCAAGCTTGATCCGAACAAAAAGGGATTTGATCCAGCTTATTTGTCAATCTGCTGGATGGCTGCTAATCTGATCGCGTGGTTGATGTCTGTAATGGTTATCTCGATCGAAGTCGTAACTGAGACGGGATGCGCAATCGGCAATGTGTCAGTGAAGAGCAAAAACAAATGGCGCAGATCTGGTTTATTTTTGGATTTCCTATCCTGGAACCTTCATTTGACTGGGTCCGGATTTCATTTGGCCGCAAATTCGTACTCTCAATCTCAATCAGATCTCGGATTCCTCATCCTCGTCCTTTCCGTTATAGTCATAATCGTCATAGTCTTTTGCTCAACGATCATGCTGTACAAGTTCTGGAAAGCCCCTGCCGTAGACACAGATGACAATATTCTTTGGTACTAGGTACGTAATTCAACATTTATATTCTACTCCACTAATCAATTGAATTAGGTTTTGATTATCTGAATTTTTCTATACAGGAATTTCAACTAGATTGATTGTTCTCTACAACAATATCTTCCATAAAACATCTCAGCTGTTTGAATTTCGTTTGAATTTTTTTTCTACTTTGAAGTTGTTAATCGAACCTATGTTACTGACTTTTAGGAAAAACAGATAAGAAATTGCTGAAGCTTCATGATTGATTTTTGTGGAGATTTTTAAATGCGTTTACCTAAATTGTTAAACCTGTTACATTGATTCTTGCGGAATAGCATATTTTGGATTTTAGACTTTTGCCTAATCGTTTGTGTGGCTTCAATGTTTGTGTGCGAATAAATCTTATAGGGTTTAAATTCTCGCAAGTGTTTGTTTGTGATAACTATGGGGATGTAATATTTCTGCAAGCCCAAATAGCAGTATAATCATCTACGGTTTTACTATTTTTGAAGGAAAAAGAAATATAACATAATGAAGTATAGTTATCTGCATCAACACATTAAAAAACATCAACCAATAAGAAAAATATTAAAATCTCATGAAGCTTTGCTAGACTTTTGTGAAACTCATCGCTTCATTTGTTGTTGTTTCTCCACTTTTACTTTTTACTGTTAATTTTGCATCTCACAACCTTTGTACATATATATGCTATAAGTTATCAATTTTAATATATTAAAGTTTGTGTCAAATTCTATGACAGTAGCAAACAGAAACACATGGGCAAGTAAATACATGAATCAATAATATGCTAATCTAAAATCTGTGTTTATCTAAAGTTGGTATGGCAACCAGTTTTAGAACATTACATGATTTAGACACTTTAACTTTAAAACTTATTTTTTTTATAAAATGTAATTTAATTTATTAAAATACATTTAATTTATAAAAAGAAACATATGTTATGTTCTTTTTCATTTCTATTGATCATACATTTACACCGTTGCGAAAGAAAAAAAAATGCAAATGAGGTCCTTTAAGATGTAAATAACAAAGCGATGTTATTTTATTAGTATCTCACAACCGAATAATTACTACCTTTTATATAAATAATATTGTTTGATTTAAAGTTATATCAGACCATAACATCATAAGTAGTATAAAATTATATAACTACAGTTAATACGTGTAGCATAATACATAGATTTTGGTCCACGTGTTTAGAAAATATACGGATTAACTTTTAATTTATAAAAATGACTTGGTTTAAATATGTGGAAACCACAGTTGAAAAAGAAAAACACTATCGATAATTCCAAATTGTAATGACTAATTAAAGATTTACAAAATAACATAGAGATTATAAAAAAATTGTAATTACTAATCATAAATTAGTATACAATTATTTTTATACAAAAAAATCTTAGTTTATTATATAAACTACAATATTTCATTTATCATTAGTGTTATAAACAAAAGAAAAAGTGTTTATTATTCCACTTCCAAGTTGTTAATCACCTTATTATAGCTTCAAACCCCACATTTTGAACATCATAGTATTATTAGAAAAATATGAAGGGAATTTGGTATGTACTTAAAATAATAACAAAAAAGAATATAAAGTAAAACTTTGGAAAAATAATATATGTAGAAACCATAACCAGATAACCCTTTCTTTTTCTTCCATAAGGTAATCACTAAATGCATTCAACATCCATAATGTATAGTTCAATGAGAGCGTTGAATGAGGTGGCATGCCTAATTGACATTTAATAGATTAAACTCTAACATTGTGGGATGTCATGTTGGCATTCAATGGATATGGAGTTCAATGGCCATTGAACTCTTCAATTGGAAAAAGGAAACCTTTTAACTATTAAATATATATTTCATTGAACTCTATTGAATTCAATGCATTGTAGAAAAATTAATATAGAGTTGTATAGTAAGTAAAAATGATGATGTGTCAATCCATTAAACTCTAATAATTTTAATGCATTTTGGATGCCCTTATTTTCAAACAATATAAACAATCAACTAATGAATTAATTACAAAAGAAGCTCCCACTCAATTCTAACCCTCTTATTTTGTATCACAATGGCCCTTCAAGATAATGAATAAGGGCAAGAAAGTCTTTTGTTTTAACTAATCTTTTGGTGGTGTTTTAAAACATGTATGATATTATTTCATTGACAAATAATATCTTTATGGGCTAGCGGGACTGCTATAAACAATCTGATTGATCCAAATACCCAAGCCTTTGTATCAAAAATCAAATCCCTACAAACTACACCGCCTTGGTAACTTAATTTTCCGGTCCTTACCTCATTATTAAGGTAATTTTCCAGACCACACACACCTGAAGGATTTATGGTACCAGATCCTACACTCAATCTTGTCGAGCTCAGTGATTAGCATATACAAGTAATTAAAAACTACCATGCTATTTTTGATTTTTGTATATATATCGTTCACCTAGTTATGATCAGGTTGCATAACCTATCAAAATATCTTAGCTTCTTTACCGGATAATCTCTATTTAAAGATATACATGAAAGCACACAAAACAAAATCAAGTTGTCAAATGAAACCTTATCTGCATTTTTATTATTCTCCATTATATTTTCCGAGTTCATATCTTATCCGGTGACCATGACTATGATAAACTCATGATTGCAGACACCTTCATACCCAATTGCACTAATCAAATGTGGTTTCTTTTCCACTTAATCAAATGTATGTTTGTCGCAGAGCATAAAGAGGCCCAATTCACACACACCTACAACTAAATTTAACCAATTACTATTATATAAAAATGTGTAACTCTATTACCATGTTGTATTGTACAGACATCTCTCAACACATTGAATAAAAAATTTGATGATAAAATAGCAAATATTCATGAAATAATCAACAAAGAATTTAAAACAAATCGGAATCATTATTAGTAATTGACTTATCTTGGTAAGCTATTGATTCATTTTTTATATGGTATCACTTTTCACATCATATTCATATGAAATCACGTTTAACATCCTAACTTTTTAGAGATTTTTCCTTCTTTATATTTTCCCGCTAAGTCCTAACATTTTACAAACTTGTTACCAGTCATGCCAATATATTCTTCAAAATACCTATCTTTAATGACATCGGGTTAGCACTTGATGTTACTATAAAAGGACCAAGTTTAAATTAACATTGTTTACCATGTAGATGATGAACATGAACGATAAATTACTATAGAACTATAGAATATAACAGGTTTCAAACCTCTCTAATAACATTATCCATGGCATCAAAAGAATGTAATGAAGTTGTAGATCATCAATGGTACTTTGCCTGATACACGGGATATCCTTGTAGTTTACTAATGCATATGCCAACTACAAACCAGATAACATTAATTTAGTTAATAAGGTCTAAATTATGGAAAATTGTGTGGGATGAATGCAAAATGGCTGATATAACTTGCTTATAGTTATGGAAGTTTCTAACAACATAAAGATGCATGATTATGAAAATTTTACAAAAGGACAGTCATGCCTAATGGCCACTTACTGAGTTAATTGATAATGAGTGTACATCAGTTTCAAAGTTTCAGGAGAATAACATATGGTTCAACTACTCATATAGCTTCTTGAACGTTTGTATGTTAGGAGCCTTATGAGCTGCAATTAAACATCTTCATCAAAGATGGATGCATCAATGAACATTTGCAGATCTGATGAAATCAAAGGAAAAACAAATGAGAAATCAAAAATTAAATCAATAAAAAGATGCCTACGGGTTCAACTCATAGTCTTTATTTCAAAATAAACTAAAAACCTAACCCTTGAAGATGAATAACGTTCATAGAACCGGAAACATCTGACTCAAAAGCTCTTACAACAGACCATAAAAACACTCATTATCTAATAAAAAGCACATCTAAACTATACAAATACCGAACAACCAAAAGACCTAACCACACTAATGTACTGAGAAATACATGTCAATCGTACCAACATACACACATAGAAACCAAGAAATATTACATGTATGGCTTGATGGAAGCTTGAGTCGAGGATCTGGCGACGAAGAGGCCGCTTATGTAGATAGAACTAGAAAGCATCTATAGAGAAAGAGAGAGAGCGAGAGAGAGAGAGAGAGAGAGAGAGAGAGATTGGGGACATTCCTACCAAATGGTTGATTGGGCCCAAAGGGTATTCCAACCCAATGATTGAGTGAGCCCATAGTATATTGTCATTCCAACCCAATGGTTGACTGGACCCATAATATATTGGCATTCTAACCCGGTGGTTGATTGGGCCTGGAGTATTCCAACCTAATCATTGATTGGACCTACTGTGTATTGGCATTTCAACTTGGGGTATTCCATCACGAGGATGACTGGACCCGGAGGTTGAATGGGCCTGAGGTATTCCAACCCGATGGTTGATTGGACCCGACATGCTATTATATATATATATATATATATATATATATATATATATATATATATATTATTTGTTATGTTTATGTGGTGGTAATTTGGGGGAACTCACTAAACTTCGTGTTTACAGTTTTGGTTTATGGTTTCAGGTACTTCAGAGCACCATGGCACGACGAAGGTGTAACCGTACACATCGTGATTTGATGTTATTGATATTGGGAGACTCTGATTTTAAATAATGTTTTGGAAACAATGGTTTTGTAAACACTTCGATTAGTAAATGGGCTATTTTAAAAAGTTTAAATTGGTTGAAATTTTTGGGATGTTATACATTGATATTGAAGATTAGGGGGAAAACAAAACCTGATGAATTTATTTGGAAAAACAATCATTAACTAAAACAATCAGTTCTTAAATTGAAGGCATTTAAGATGAGCATTCCAGTTTAAATGGATGAAGAGGATTAGAGATTTAAGAGAGATAAATTGAATCAAATGAAGACACAAAACAATCGATCGATAAGATGAAGAGGTTTAGGGTTTAAAAGGGATAAATGGAGAAGAACACAACTGAAAAGGAAACCATTTAGGGATT